CCCCCACCCTTCCTCGCCTCTCCGATGGCCGGACTAGTTGGCCGTTGGTCCCTGCGCCGATCCACGCCGCCACACGCATGGGTCGTCCTCTGCGGGCACTTCATTGAGCCGTCGTCGCCACGTCCCTATGCCGGTTTGAGGACTTCCCCGTCCTTCCTCCGCCCCAGCCACCGACGAGGACCTACCTCGGGGTCTGACAGCGGCGATGGGTGACATGGGTGGCCAAAATCACGGATCGGGACACCCACACCCGGCACGGACACTAAAAAAATACGGCAGGCATATTATATGTACCCTCCTAACTGCCCAACGTTGCCAAAGGATGTGGGACATGCGAACAATGTGATGGCTATTTTAGTAGTGGTGAAGTGGGGAGAGGTGACATTTTCTTTAGAAGACACATGGCAGTTTCTTTCCGAGAAGGCAATTTTCATTTAAAAACTGTCGTCATTTGATCTCGTTTTACACCTACTAAAACTGTCGGCATAGATGGTTCGCTTGCCACCCTCTTACCCCGATGTTTGCCAGGTACAGTTACCGTATTATCATATGATGATTCTTGCCGACACCATCTCTGGAAGGTGGTACTATGTAGACATGCGGTACGAGATAATACAGTGTGAACGACGATGACCAAAGACCGGGCATAATGTATTGTACCTAGCTAGCTAGCTAGTGCATTATTTCAAAGTGGACCGAAGTCGACCGGGCAGCAGCAAGCTAGCAGAGAAGATCACCGATATAAAGTGAGGGCTCACTGGTGAAGGTGGATCAAACACTCCACCACACTCCAAACCTGTGCACACAATATTCTTGGTTTCGCTCTCGCCTCTGCCCTACAGCAGCTGTAGCTCTTGTTCCGGTCAGGAAAGGAAAAGCTAGCGCGTGGAAGAAGAGGAAGAAATCCCCAGGTTCGTACATGATTCACAGCGCACATGCATGTACATTTCATGAATTAATGAATATCTGCTAGTAGTATTGGTTATATTTACTATTGAAGTTTCTCCTTCATCCTATATATGCATGCCTACATAGATAATACTGAAAACTAACTCGACCAACATATATACGTACAGAGATACCCGGCCATGAAAGTTACCACACTCGGACAGTTACTTCTCTTGATACTGGTGACTTTCAGTGCACAATATGTGGTCGTCATCGGCAGCTCATCCTCCGTACATGGTAACGAGACAGATCGGTTATCACTGCTTGGATTCAAGGACGCAATCAGCCTCGACCCGCAGCAAGCCTTGATGTCCTGGAATGATAGCACCCACTTTTGCGATTGGGAAGGTGTCGTGTGCAGGGTGAAGGCTCCACCCCGTGTCACTTCCCTAAACCTTACAGGTCGAGGGTTGGTAGGACATATCTCTCCTTCACTTGGGAACCTAACCTTCTTGCAATCTCTGGCCTTGACAGAGAACACACTCGCCGGAGAGATCCCATCATCCCTTGGTCACATGCATCGCCTCGAAACCTTGCACTTGAACAGAAACACGCTGCAAGGAAGGATACCGAGTTTTGCAAACTGCTCAAAGCTCAAGGAGTTGGATGTTTCGGTTAACAATCTAGTTGGCCAATTTCCCGGTGATTTGCCTCCTCGTCTTCACATGCTGCAAGTTTCCTTTAATAACCTCACTGGCATCATCCCAGCTTCTCTGGGTAATATCACAACACTAGTCTTTATTAGTTGCGCGCATAATCGAATCAAGGGAAATATCCCAAGTGAGTTTGCAGGTTTGTCAGGCTTGCAATACCTGTATGCGGGTGCAAATCAGCTAACAGGTAGGTTTCCACAAGCCATCTTGAATGTTTCTACTCTCATCGGCCTTGGCTTAACTCTCAATGGTCTAAGTGGGGAGCTGCCACCAAATCTTTGTACCTCTCTCGCCAATCTCCGTATACTTACATTAGGTGGCAACTTATTTCTAGGACACATTCCTAGTTCATTCACTAATGCTTCCAATCTAAGTGTCATTGATTTATCAACGAACAACTTCACCGGATTGGTGCCCACCACGATGAGCAAACTTACCAAACTCTCAATGTTGAATCTTGAAAATAATCAGCTCCAAGCACATAGTCGAGAAGACTGGGAGTTTTTGGACAGCTTAGGCAACTGCACAGAGCTACAAATATTGTCCATGAGTGTCAATTTTCTATCAGGGCATGTACCAAGTTCATTAGCTAACCTTTCCAATAAACTCCAGACTCTGTACTTGGGAGAAAATCAACTATCGGGAAATTTCCCTTCCGGCATAGCCAACCTTCACAATCTAGTTGCTGTGTCAGTGGGGGGGAATCACTTCACAGGTATCGTTCCAGAGTGGATTGGGACTCTCAAAAATTTGCAACAAGTAGATTTAGCAGCAAACTTCTTTACGGGGGTCATTCCATCATCCTTGTCAAACTTGTCTCAACTGGGACAGCTCTATGTAGCCTCAAACCAATTCATTGGCCACATACCGAAAAGCTTTGGTAACTTTCCAAGGCTTCAATATTTGAACACTGCTAGCAACAACCTTCATGGTAGGGTTCCAAAGGAGATATTCAGAATCCCGTCAATAATTGCAATTGATTTATCTTTCAACAACCTGGATGGACAACTTCCTACCGACATTGGCAATGCTAAACAACTCGTACATTTGGTACTTTCATCCAATAAGCTATCTGGAGATGTTCCAAACACTCTGGGTGACTGTGGAAGTTTAGAATACATTGAGTTAGACTCGAATATTTTCAGCGGAAGCATTCCCGCTTCATTAGGCAGCATAAGAGGCCTCAAAGTTTTGAATATTTCTGCCAATAACTTAACTGGTTCAATACCAACATCTCTTGGCAACCTACAAGTTCTTGAGAAACTAGATTTGTCATTCAACCACCTCAATGGTGAGGTTCCAACAAAAGGGATATTCAAGAATGCAACTGCCGTGCAAATTGATGGAAATCAGGGGCTTTGTGGTGGGGTACCGGAGTTACACATACTAGCATGTTTTGTTATGCCTCCAAATTCAATTAGGAACAAGAAATCTTTGGTGCTAAAAGTGGTTATCCCAATAGCGAGTATGGTGTCAATTGTTATTGTCATATTTTGCTTCTTTCTCTGGGGAGGAAAACACAAGAGAAAATCTAAATCTCTGCCATCATTTTCTACAAAATTTCCCATGGTTTCTTTCAATGATCTAGCCAGAGCAACACAGGGATTCTCAGTATCCAACTTAATAGGCAGTGGGAGATATAGTTCTGTTTACCAAGGAAAACTAGTTGAAGATGAAAATGAGGTTGCCGTGAAAGTCTTCAACCTAGAGACAAGAGGAGCACAAAAGAGCTTCATCTCAGAATGTAACGCGTTGAGAAATGTGCGGCACCGTAATTTGGTCCCTATAATAACTGTGTGCTCAAGCATTGATTCCAGTGGTAATGATTTCAAGGCCCTAGTGTATGAGCTCATGCCGCGAGGGGATTTGCATAAACTACTATACTCAACTCCAGACTATGAAGGCTCTTCGGATTTGAACCTTATTACGATTGGTCAAAGGATAAGCATTGTGGTGGATGTAGCGGATGCACTGGAGTACCTACACCATAACAACCAAGAAGCACTGATTCACTGTGATCTGAAGCCTAGCAACATTCTTTTGAATGACAATATGACAGCTCATGTTGGAGACTTTGGCTTGTCAAGATTCAAAGTTGGTTCCACAACGTCATCTCACGGTAACTCAAACTCTTCTTCAATTGCAGTGATGGGAACAATTGGATACACTGCTCCGGGTAATGGTCTTCTCTTTATCTTGTGCTTCTACATTTTGCGGCATCTATGTTAAGCAGTGAAGATGAAACTAACTCCTCCCCTTTTCCATTATGTAGAATACGCAGAGGGTGGCCAAGTTTCAACTGCCGCAGATGTTTACAGCTTCGGTGTCGTTCTCCTCGAGATATTCATTCGAAGAAGGCCGACTGGCGACATGTTTAAGGATGGACTCAGCATTGTGAAGCTTATGGAGGCCAGCTTCCCTGACAGGGTATTTGAGATTGTCGACCCCCAGCTGCTAAAAGAGTTGGATGAAACTCCAATAGCCTTCAAGGAAAAACACTCACATTGTCTGTTATCTGTGCTAAATGTTGGCCTTTGCTGCACTAAGACATCCCCGGGCGAACGCATCAACATGCAGGAGGTGGCTGCTAAGCTACATGGAATCAAGGATGCATATCTCAGAAGCAGTGCCGTTGTTTCGGTAGTATTAGCTACCTGAATAAGTTGTTTACTTGTACAATTGACGTTTATCACATAGAATGTATGTAAGGGCCCAGATTTACAATCCAAACATTCTGCGTGTCTTTGAGTCAGCCCAGCTAGTGCACATTGAAAAACTGAGATGAATGGCATTTCCATGTATCAATATTACCAGACCAACATGTTTTTTATTTACTACTAGTAACTTTTGCCCTTCCCAAACACACCTGGCATGCTGACACCACCCATTGATTTCCTAGCAACCACTTCACACTCTTGTGTTCAAGAACTCTCTGCACCCCTGGGGGGGATAAGGAAGTTGAAGAAAAAAATTGGCGTACTATTCAAGAACTAAATCAGCCTCCGAACTCTTTAGTCTCTTCATTCTTCTTCACCCTTGTACATTTATTTGCAGAAAAGAGTCTCCTTTGTGGCATTTCCGGTAGTCGTATTTACCCTGGTGCACAACAGTTGCAAAATCGCTAAGAACCATGTCATCATACAGAAATGCAGATGGAGAAAGAGATTAAGAGAATGGATGGCAAGTTCCTGCATATCGACATTTTTTTTTCTTCTCACCCGTCAGCAATTTTGCAAAGGTAGTCCCTCTGATCGTCTCGTAGTGGAACATCCGTGAAATCTGGAGAGGAGAGAAAAATGGGGAAACCATGACTTGGTGATGCCACAGTACAGCAAGATAATTTCAGTACGACATTGATCACATGGTGATAATCCAAACATGTTAAGAATTTTTTTTTTTTTGAGAATAAATATGTTAAGATTCCAGACAGAACTTGGAGATAAACACTTAGCACTTGCCTGCCCCGTATATGTTGGAACCTTTGAAAGAAGTGTTCCCTGTCACAAGTGCCCCTTCCAAGTTGGCATTTGTCAAATTTACCTGCAGAATGAACCAGATTGCTGTGAAACCATAGTCCGATGCTCTGACGATCAGATGCGGTGACCACTCGACCGAGTACACGATTTCAAGCAAAATTCAGAACAGCTATGTTACTGCTTATTCTGAACCCAAACAATCATGATATGCTTTGCTGTCTACTGTCTATAGCTGCTACTGGTGTACCTTTGTAACATTTGCCAGCGAGAAGTCGGCGTTTCTAAGATCAGCATCAGAGAGATCAGCACCTGAATTCACCATCAAATAGCCAAATATAATAATATCACCCATTTTGTCACAACTGAACACTTGACAGACAACAACTAGTGTCTGTCTGCTGGCTGGAACCACCGAGGAGATGAAGAACAGATGCGAATCAGTAGGCTACCTGTGAGGTCTGCATCGAAGAAGCTGGCGCCGAGCAGGTTTGCGCCTTTGAAGTTGGTCTGCCGCAGAATGGACTGCAGCAGAAGCAAAAATTCAGAAAATCAGCAAAACATTCTGGACATTCCGATGCTCTGCTCTATTTCTACACGGTAGAAATTTCAGTCAGAGGTCAGAGCCTACTATGTACTCCGTATTTGATAATTACTGCAAGAACAAATTTGAGGCATGATAACATCATAGTGTAGGAATCGATGGGAAGAGATGGAGTAGGTACGGTCTTGAAGTCCTGCTTGATGAGCGTCTGGCCGCTGAAGTCCTTGCCGGTGAGGTCCTGCCCCCGCGTCACCTGCTGCCCGTATGGCCCGCCTCCCTGCATCCACCCACACGCCATTAACGCCGCCTCAATCGCCTCGCCACCACACTCGGTCGACAGGTGCAAATACAGTAGAACTAACCCTGAAAGCGAGGGCCGGGTCGGCGAGGAGCAGCGAGGCGGCGACCAGCGCGGCGGCGCCGGCGTTGGCGAGGTGGAAGTGCAGCGAGGAGGGGGCGCGCCCCGGTGTCGGCTGCGCCGTCGTCGCCGGCTGGGAAGGGGCGAGCTTCAGAGCGCCGAGGATGGACATGGCCATGGCGAGCTAGCTTCCTGGCTGGCTGTTGTCGCGGTCTCTCTTTTTTGGGCTGCGCCGACGAGTTTATCCGTCTTATCTTCATCTCGTTGCCACCATGTTTGCTTGGCCAATCAAACGATTGTTGCCACGATGGCCATTTTTCCTCGTATTCTTTCTTTCCAAATGTCGATGGATGACTCCACTCATTACTGAACCTCAGAAGCATTTTTTAATTCAAAAAAAATGTTCTTTTAGCACATACGTATTGAATAATAATAGGGCAACGATAGGCGCCGGTGCGCCGGCCAAAAGTTCGGCCGGTCACTCGGTAGCCGTACGATCTGCGCGCCTGTAACCGTCCGATTCTCTCCCAAACTCGTCTCCTTCCTCGCGCTGGACGCGCGCCCCCTGTGACCCGCGAGTTGCATGATTCCTCGCCTGGTGATGGACACGATGGCCATGTTCGTTGAGCTCCGCTCGAGGGATGCCGCCGTGGCTGCTAGGGCACGCCATGGCCATGGGAGTCGAGCTCCGGGAGGGGTGCTGCCATGGCCATCGGCATCGAGCTCCGCGAGGGGTCCTGCCATGGCGGCCGTCAAGCTCCGCGCGGGGCTGTCGCCATGGCCATGGGCGGGCACCGCCACACTAGATGCAGTTTCGCTCATGGCCGGTTCCAACTTTTGATGATGCCCGTTGCAGCTTTTTGGCAAAAAAACTTGTCATCATTGCCGGCGGTTGTATCTCGCCATTGTATCGTCGTCGGTGAAAAAAGAATGGATGTAGTAAAAATTGTTGTTGGGTGTACCAAAAATCTATTACGGTTGCAACAAAAATGTCATCGCCGCCGTCGTCGGGTCGCAACTCAGCCTGAACATATGTAGCAAAAAATGAAAACGGTTGTAGCAAAAAGCGACATCGATTGTAGCAAAAACGCGAGGTCGATTGTGCATTGCAGCAAAACGTGACACCGGTGGCAGCAATATGCGATGCCGTTTGTAGCAAATTCCGACGCCGGTTGAAGCATGTAGCAAAAATAACGACATTGATTGTTTTCTCATAGGAGCGTCGCCCCATCCTCGCCATCCTGAGGTCATGCTCGCCGTCTCATGGTCGGTCGTAGCCTCCCCGGGCACGGGTTGCGGCCTCCTTCCAAGACCTTGCCTCATCTTGAACCATGGCTTATTTGAGAGAGAAGGAGAGAGATGTTTTGGGGAGAAGATGTGTGGAGGAGGAGGACTGGCAGCAGTCGGGTAGTCCACCTGGCTCGGCGAAGCACACGGCTGGCAGCGGCTGCCAGTAGGCAGCAGCGTGGGGAAAAGGAAGAAGAAATATGGCCACAGGAAAGGATGTGTCTGGAGGTAGAGGATGAAGGCAGCAGTTAGGAGAAAGATAAGGAAGGAGGGGTGGTCCACGTGGGGCCCAGCAATCAACAGGAGTCTCGCGCGGGGCGTGTCTTGGGCGGGCACGGGGCGCCAGCGTGGCTTGCGACCGGCCGAAGGTTCGTCCGGTGCCCCGGCCTGAAACATTTCCCATAATAATAACGCGATTTTTTTGGTTGGTTTTCGCTCATAGTAGGTGGCGATAACCTCATGTTTCTGGCCCCGCGGAACCTGTTGCCGATCACTCGTGATAGAGGGGACGTGTCATTGTTGCGAAAAACTTGAGCACAACATTTCTGAGAAGTGCCACCTATAAATCTAACCATCTTATAGCTTGTCAAGAAATTTGATGCTATGATCTGAAGGGAAAGAATACCGAATCATGAGGTATACCTCCCCCTCCCCCCCACCCCAGCGTCGCTCTCCCGAGGGCGACTCGGGGGCGACCTAGGGTTCCCTCTGTTGGAAATATGCCCTAGAGGCAATAATAAATTGGTTATTATTATATTTCCTTGTTCATGATAATCGTTTATTATCCATGCTAGAATTGTATTGATAGGAAACTCAGATACATGTGTGGATACATAGACAACACCATGTCCCTAGTAAGCCTCTAGTTGACTAGCTCGTTGATCAATAGATGGTTACGGTTTCCCGACCATGGACATTGGATGTCGTTGATAACGGGATCACATCATTGGGAGAATGATGTGATGGACAAGACCCAATCCTAAGCCTAGCACAAAGATCGTGTAGTTCGTATGCTAAAGCTTTTCTAATGTCAAGTATCATTTCCTTAGACCATGAGATTGTGCAACTCCCGGATACCGTAGGAATACTTTGGGTGTGCCAAATGTCACAACGTAACTGGGTGGCTATAAAGGTGCACTACGGGTATCTCCGAAAGTGTATGTTGGGTTGGCACGAATCGAGACTGGGATTTGTCACTCCGTGTGACGGAGAGGTATCTCTGGGCCCACTCGGTAGGACATCATCATAATGTGCACAATGTGATCAAGGAGTTGATCACGGGATGATGTGTTACAGAACGAGTAAAGAGACTTGCCGGTAACGAGATTAAACAAGGTATCGGGATACCGACGATCGAATCTCGGGCAAGTATCGTACCGATGGACAAAGGGAATTGCATACGGGATTGATTAAATCCTTGGCATCGTGGTTCATCCGATGAGATCATCGTGGAGCATGTGGGAGCCAACATGGGTATCCAGATCCCGCTGTTGGTTATTGACCAAAGAACGTCTCGGTCATGTCTGCATGGTTCCCGAACCCGTAGGGTCTACACACTTAAGGTTCGATGACGCTAGGGTTATAAAGGAAGTTTGTATGTGGTTACCGAATGTTGTTCGGAGTCCCGGATGAGATCGCGGACGTCACGAGGAGTTCCAGAATGGTCCGGAGGTAAAGATTTATATATGGGAAGTCCTGTTTTGATCACCGAAAAAGTTTCGGGTGTTATCGGTAATGTACCGGGACCACCGGAGGGGTCCGGGGGTCCACTGGGGGTGCCATGGGCCCCAGAGGCATACATGGGCCAAGTGTGAGAAGGCACCAGCCCCTAGGTGGGCTAGGGCGCCTCCCACCATGGCCCATGCGCCTAGAGGGGGAGAGGGGGCAAACCCTAAGGGCAGATGGGCCCTAAGGCCCATGCTCCCTGCGCCTCCCTCTCCTCCCCCCTTGGCCGCCTCCCTCAGATGGGATCTGGGGCTGCCGCACCCCTTGGGGTGGGAACCCTAAAGGGGGCGCAGCCCCCTCCCCTTCCCCTATATATACTTGAGGCCTAGGGGCTGCCCAAGACGCGATTTGATCTCTCCCTGTTGGTGCAGCCCTATCTCTCTTTCTCCTCATCTCTCGCGGTGCTTGGCGAAGCCCTGCTGGATAGCCACGCTCCTCCACCACCACCACGTCGTTGTGCTGCTGCTGGATGGAGTCTTCCTCAACCTCTCCCTCTCTCCTTGCTGGATCAAGGCATGGGAGACGTCACCGGGCTGTACGTGTGTTGAACGCGGAGGTGCCGTCCGTTCGGCACTAGGATCTCCGGTGATTTGGATCACGACGAGTACGACTCCTTCAACCCCGTTCTCTTGAACGCTTCCGCATAGCGATCTACAAGGGTATGTAGATGCACTCTCCTCCCCTCGTTGCTGGTTTCTCCATAGATAGATCTTGGTGACACGTAGAAAATTTTTGAATTTCTGCTACGTTCCCCAACACCCTCGCGCCGCCACCTCCCCCTTTCCCTCCTCCTCGCTGCTGCAGGAGGCGGTCGCCGGGGCCCCGCGCGGCTGCCTGTCAGGGCGGCGACGAGGCCTCTGGCCGCTCCCTTTTGGTGGTGAGGGCCCGCATCTGAGGCGGCGGCCTCGCTGGTGCGGACGGCGCTCCTCCGGCTGCGGGGAGTGCTCGTCGGTGAGGTCGGCCGGGTCCCCTCGGTTGCGTCGGCAGCGAGGTCCCAGTGGGAGCTGGTCTTGGCGCGGGGAGGCCCCGGGCTTCCCTCGTCAGATCTGAGGCGTTCTGGTCCGCTCGTGATGCATGACCTCCGGCCGGCCTGGATCTCCGGCGTGCACGCGCCTGCTGATGCTGTGGCTGGTTCGAAGGTGGCGGCAGGGTGCTTGGCCGGGGGAAACCCTTGGCCGCCGGTGGCGGTCACGACGTCGATGGCGTCCCGGACGCCATTCCCTCCTTGGTGGTGGCGCCGAGGCTTAACTTCCCCTGCCTCCCCCTTCCCCTGTGCCCGGGTGAAAACCCTAGCCCGGTGGCTAAGCGGCGGCGGCGCCACAGTGTCGTCACCTTCTTGAAGGCGCCGACTTGGGCATGAGTATGCTGAGCGTGTATGGCGAGCTTGTCTGGTTCCTGGTGGCGGCCCGTCCGGCCGTGTCTCCGATGGGGACCTCGCCCTTCCTTACCTTGTACCTGCCGTGGTGGAGCGGTACTTCATCTCACACGTTGATAGAGGTGGAGATCGGCGGCATGGCGCTGTGGAGGCTTGGCGTCCGATGCGCGGAGATGGACTCGCGCAGGAGGAGGTGGCTGTCTGGCCTCATGGTGACGTCGATGGCAAAGTGGCCAGATAAGGTAGAAGCCTCAATATTATCTGAAGACGGACCTATGGAAGATGGCTGCGACGACACACGAGTGCGTTTGACCGGATTGTGCCCCAAACCCAGTATGTGGCTCGGCTGGGGCTTTCAGCTTTTGATGTTAGGTTTAGGTGAGTGGTTTGGGTAGTGGCCCAGCTAGTATCCCTTCATCATATGAATAGGAGTAGCGGCATATGTTGCCAAGATGGTGGATTCAGGTATATTGTCTGTAATACTTTGTAAGATCCTCGAAAATAATCAATAAAGTGGCTGTATGCATCTCCCAGATGCAGAGGCCGGGGGTCATCCTCCTTTTTTTTAAATGAGGACCCTCCAAATTCTTTTCGAGTGCTCGCTTGAGAACTACTCCCTCCGTTCCTAAATACTTGTCTTTCTAGGCATTTCAACAAGTGACTACATACGAAGCAAAATGAGTGAATCTACACTCTAAAATATGTCTACATACATCCGTATGTAGTAGTCATTTGAAATGTCTAGAAAGACAAATATTTAGGAACAGAGGGAGTACATTCTTTAGCTCTGG